GAGCTGCGCGCGTCCACCTGCTGGCTGCTAAGCATTCTCGATATCGCCGCGCAGAGGATTTCTTGGTGATTGAGGGAGAAATGAGTGCGCGTGATCTGGAATTGAGGGAGATTAGAGTTTGCCGAGGAAGAAAGGAGCTCGAGCGGAGCGGGAGAAGAATTAGCGAGCAGGCGAACTCCAAGAACGCCATGACGAGACTGGGCCGATTGCGGATGCTGTCGCTCCGACTACCACAGAACGGGCTGCGCGCTTTCGAGGAGCGCCTAGTGGCAAGAAAGCTCGATTTCTTGCTATGGGGATGGAACTACATCTGTGTGGATATGGTGCGCGAGTGGCTAGAGCCACAGGGACCACCTACGCGCGGATTGCGGCCGAATGTTGATCGATGAACAGTCCAAGATTGGGCACAAGCATTGGGGAGATGTGTCGGCATCCTAGGGCACCTCCTCTTCAAAAGTGAGAGCGTCAAGGTGTCCAAGCAGGAAGAGGCGCAATTTGTGGAGCTGTTCAAGAAGGGGAGGTCTACCAAGAATGGGTACAAGACCCGCGATTACAAGGACCGATTCCGCCGAACTTTGGCTACGGCGCTGCTGCAATTACTGCAGCCACACCGCGCCTGCTACATCACCTTGTGGTAGGTCTCTTTTGTGGAGTGCATCATCGAGGGAACTCCAATTCACTGGGCGAGCATCCTGCACAGGGTGATGCGACAGCACGCTTTTGAGGAGAAGGGGGGAACTCTAAATCATCTCTCTCCTTTCCTCATCAATTTTTATAGACAGCGAAATTGTTTGACCGCGGCGGAGCGTGCTCGTTTTCCGCCGTTGTCCGTCGACCATCCCGGGAGGTATGTCCGGGAGAATGAGGTCGACACTGATGCAGAGGAGTCGCCGACTTCCACTCCGTCAAGGCGGAGGGACGAAGGGAGGAATACTCCTGCAACAAGAGTGCCGCGGAAGCGGCGATGGAGAGAGGAGTCCGAAGAGGAGCAGCATCAAGAACCCACTGCTCCCATTCGACCGCGGCCGTTGTACGAATCGTACAGCCGGCCGAAGCAGAAGGCGCGCAGGCTTGTGTTACCAGCCACCAGCGCGGACACGGCGACGATTGCGACGGAGAAAGGAAGTGCGTCGCCAGAGAAGAACGAGGGAGCGCGGACGTCCGCAGGAGCAGCGGACCACGCTGCACCCTTGACGGACGAGAGGCCGCCTACGGGCCAAGGGCCTCCGGAGTTACCACGTGCGTTGCGGACAGGTGTTCCGCCTACGCACAGGCGAGCCTCGACGGACGGGCGAGCCTCGACGGACAGACGACCACAAGCGGACGTGGACCTATGCCTACGCGTGGGAAGAAGCAGTCTGCCTGTGCACAGGCGCTCGCCTGTGCACAGGTCGCCTCAACACGTGCCGCCTGTGCACAGGAAGGAATCACCCCCGTTCCAACGTAGGAAGGGGAAGGAGCCGGCGGAAGATCCGCCTACGGGACACAGGCCTCCGGGGCCAGACCCTCCGGCGCACAACGCGCCGCGATTTGCGCCTTCGGCGCCAGGGCCTTCGGGCCGAGGAGATGCGAGCAGGGAGCGTGCGGAGGCTGCACCATCGGCGGCTAGTCCGCCGGTAGATGCGCCTTTGGCGGTAGGGCCTACGGGCCAAGGGACATCGGGCGAGCGGCCCCCGGCTATATCGCCTTTGGCGATAGACGCCTTCGGCGCTGCGCCTGCGGCGGACAAGGCGCCGGCATTTGCGCCTACGCACAGGCCAGGCACAGCCCCCGCGCAGGACCGATCGAGGGAGCAACACCTGACGGAGGAGCGGATTGACTGTCCGCGGGACGAAATTTCTGTGCGCGATGCGCAATCAAACCCCGCGCAGACACCCTCCGCTCTATCGCCTGCAGCGGCGGACGTCGGCGGCAGAAAGGATACGATTGAAGATTGACAAGCGGGCGACGGGGATGTAGCACGGCCACATTCGCCCACCGCCTTAGACATTTTGGCGAAGAGCAGCGAGGCTGCAGCGGTGCCTTCGCAGGCAGCACACGTCGACGACGTGCAGCCCCACTCGGGACAGTCGCCAACGCAATCAATAGCGACTGAAATCCTCAACTCGGATGATGACGACGGAGGCTCCACCGAAGCAATGTCGGGAGCCGGGGATACCGAGGAGAAGGAGGAGAAAATTGTTGGAGCGCCGGCGGCGGCGCTCTCTGAGCAGGTGATACCGTTGCTGAAGTACTTGGATCGCAAATTCGATAAATACGCCGATCCACTTCAGCCGGGATCTTACATCGAATTAGTGCGCAGGCGGACTCGCACTAAAGTCCACACTAGCAAGCTACTAGCTAGGGTGGACCAGGAGTTGAAGGAATTGAAGGAGAGGCATGCCTGTTTATGGGGGCAGTACAACCTTGAGACGAAATCGCACGCCCTTGACAGGATGCGGAAGGATAGAGTGGAAGAGCTCACCAGGGATGTGGTGCAGACCACGCAGGATTTGATGTCTGAGAAAACTCAGAATCAGATTCTGTCAGAAGAGCTCGTGCGACAGACGCGTTTGTTGGCGGAGTGTCAACTCGCACGGCAGGCGGATGAGGATTTAATCCGCAGGCTACAGTCAGAGTGTGGCAAATTGAGAGCACAGCGTGCGGAGGCCGAATCGCAGTTAGTGGTAATTGAAGAGGATCGTAGGCGAGAGGCAGATCGCACGAAGGAGGAGACGGCGAGGCGTGTCGCCCACTGTCTTAAGGGCTACGCCCACTGGGAAGTGGCGGCGCAGGAGAAACTCACACTGCGTGAGTTTGAACTTCGCGCAGCAGGGTTGTTGGCAGGCGACAGCAGGAGTCGGCGGAAGGTAGCGAAGAAGCTCGACGCTTTTCTGTCGAAGGCGCGGGATACCATGTCCACCCTCGAGGTGGAGGTGTCCGCGGCGTTGCAGCGGTTGGGACTGCGCAGTCGAGCGGAAGACTGGCAGGGTAGGGAGTTAGTGCGCGGCAATCCGTCGCGCAGGAGACGTAGCACCGGTTCCGCGGAGTGTAGTGTAGCGTGGTTCCGTGCAGGCGTGTAGTGTAGTGCAGTGTAGTGCTAGTTAGGACTTAGAAGGTATAAAATAGTTCCAGGCGTTTTGCCTTGGGTTCTTTCCCAAACTCAGAAGTGCAGATCAGGAACCCATTTCCTCTGCGTGTTTGTGTCCTTAAGTTCTGTCACCACGCAAGAGGAGTTACAACTTAGCGTTCCGCATTTTGTAGCTGAAGGTCTTCGGCCGAATGTTCAGAGCTAGTACATTGGTTAGAGACTTGAGTAGTTCGGATCTACACCTGCGGGTGATTGCCGATGCTCAGAGCCAGTGACTAGTTAGATACTTGAATAGTTTCGCCCCTACACCTTCGAGTGTTTGTTCCTGATTGTACTCCTTCGGGATTTTTCCCCTGAATGCCAAAGTGAAGTTTTGTTACTTCGTGTAAGCCTTGGTTGTAAAGTCAGGTTACGCTGCAGCAGGTGCCTTCAGGGTAACCCCTGTAGTATTTCTGGGAATGACAAGTGCCTGAGAATTCAAACTCTTTAATAGACTGTTATGGTGTGTTACTGGAATGTTTCTCAGTGAGTCCTTTAGTGCGAACCTGTGTTCTCTGCGCGTTTTGTGAGTTGAGAGTGTTGTTCACCGCGTCTGAGTGACTTCGATCCGAAGTAGGCAGTCCAAACCGGGTTTCCTACGCTAGCAGCAAGCTAGCGGAAGTGTTGTAAAAGCCGGAGTTGGAAGTCACTACCCGCAGCTTCGCTGAGTGTGCTCACGAGAGACTTTCTCTTTGAAATCTTGAGTAGAGGTCCTAACGGATCTCTGGGTTGTGTTTCTGTAGTTTTAGGTGTGTGTGTGTGTGTGTGTGTGTGTTACGCTGCACTGTGCGACCTCCGAGTGCGCTCCGAGTGGACACTTGCAGTATTTCTGGGAGTGACAGTCGCCTGAGAATTCAAACTCCTCAATAGTCTGTTAAACGTGACACTTTGTACCCTATGTGTTCCTCTGTCCCTGTGGGTTCGACCTTTCTACCACTATATTGCAGTTTTAGCCTTTAGTGGGTTATTACAGTAATACCTTATAACAAGTGTTATCCATATGAAAGTCAGCATTCTAAAATCATTATGATTAGCCAAATTTATCTGGTATAAATGTGAATCACAATTTATTCAAATATTACAAAATCATGTAAAAAATGTTTAAAATATTTAATATTGAAATAATCATAACCTTTTGTCTTATCTTAATTTGCATTCATCTCTATTTATCTTGAATGTTCATCAAAATTTAGAGTTCTGTATCAAAACTTGAATACATTTTTAAAAAAAAATTATGAATAACTCTATACTAAAGATGATTTCAAATTAGTATCTGAGAACAAAAATTAACCGCTTTAACAAGAATTTAACATTCTTCTCATAGAATTTTTTTGAAATTAAAATTAACTTCTATAGAAATTGTAATTTTCTTTAATGATTTTATGATAGGCTTTACTTGAATTTTAATTTTAATATCTAGAACCATCAATAAAATAAAAGCAGGTTTTCAAAGTAACCTACTTTATGAAATTTATTTTTCTTACACATACTTTTCTAGTATTGAATGTAAAGACAATATTTTCTACCTTCTACTCATCGACTCTCCTATCTGTTCATATATGTGTTTTCTAACTTCGAATCTAACTTCTAATTTCTAACTTCTAACAAGAAACCAATCAATGAACCTCCGCTTATTTAGCTCAAATAGATTCAAAACAATATTTTACTTCGTGTACAATCCATTGTGTTCATTTTTCTTATGTGTTAATATAAGTAACGATTGGTCCCCAACAATCAATATCCAAGAACACCGCTTGAGTTCACGCATACAATCCAAGTTCGATAACTCCAAGTGCTGTCGAGAATCCCATAATCATCAGCTTTAATTTATCGTAAGATATTTGTACACAATATAAACTAAGAATAAAAGGTACGTGTCACGGTACATTGCAGCACGTATCACATACAAATTTGATCTAAAAGGATTTTGGAGTCCAATAGTCTCGTTACTTCTTTTTCTATTCAAAGTTACAGCGAAACGGAAAGTAGGCTATATACGGAACAAGCTGCTTGTCTGTCTGGAACAAATACATTTACCGACATGAATACCATTCGCTCGATCCGGGTTTACATTTCTTGTCATCATGAAGTGGAGAGATGGCATTGCGGTGTGAAGGACTCTATGGGTGAGCATGCACGTGGGCCATCCAAGTGACTGAGTAAGAAGGCAGAACTCTCACTACGACTGTATGTTGCATGGGCACACAACAAAATGAAACAAATCCTGATGAAGGGGTGTAATAGAAGAATGAATCTGATCTCTGAGAACTACCGAGTGGCATTATTGTGGAAATCATTTCTTCATGCAAACTTACACGTCAAGGATGTCAGCCGCCAGCTCTCGGCTCAACTAGACAGCACTTCGACTGCAATCCGCTCGAAAGCCTTGCGAATGATGAGATCAGTGAGAGTGATCTGGAAGTATCAGATTGGCGTCGTACTTGAGAACGGAAATACCATTTCGGAAAGAGACTGCGCTGACTATCAAGTGGCCTGCCACTCCTCTGAAGGAACCCGTGCCAGAGCTGACGGCCTCCTCCCAAGTAGGGGCGGTGATGTTGAACCTGGCAGAGCCTGAGATGGTTCCGGAGTAGCCGTGGAGTGTAATATTCAGCACGAATAAAATGAACTTCTCTTGCGGATTGCTGAGCGACACTGATAAGCCCGAGAAGTGCCCGATTTGAGCTGAAGCACTAGAAGCTGTCTCCCTGAGCACGCTGTCGAAGGCGATGGTATCCCCGAGATGAGATGGGCCCATGATACTGGCGTTGGCGCCGGCCACTGCTACAGCGGTAACGTCTGGCGGCACGAAGTTGTCGTGCAAGTAGTACGTGAAGTTGACCTCCTTCATCGTCATGGCGCTCGCCGGGGTACAGCATCTTGAGGAAAGGATGCAGAGCGCGCTGAGAAACACGGCCAGAGTCGACGTCATATGTGTTCTCTCCATGCTGTCGCTGTAAGTCTGGAATTCGAAAACCCGCTAGTTTTAGAAAAAGACTGTGACCGCGTCGCTCAGGTCGCCCAGCTCGAGAGATGGTTCTCAGACCCTGTAAATAGATGGCCTTCTTTCTTGCGCATACGAATGATCCCGAGCGCTCAAGTTTTATATTTACGTCAACGAGATGGAAAGCAGCGATCCATGCTTACAAATCCACCAGATGCTTGCTTATATAGGGTCTTTCAAGCAAACTCTTGCGGATGTTTGCATGTGGAGCAAGGAGATACCTACGGGCACCCGGGTACCTTCTCGAGAAGACTTTCCCCGACGTCAGGTTCCTTCTCCATCTTGGCACGGGCTCCGCTCCCACATCCATCACATGATCCACTGTACTTCTGATCTAACTGTATTGTTCGGTGTCGTCGCTATGACTGCTACTCGTAACATCAAGAGGGTGTTTCGTGGTTCAGATGCTGACTAGTTATCATTTTAGCAAAGTAACTACATTTGCAATGAACCAGTTTAGACTACTACCATCATATATTCGAGTAAAAGTTGTACCATAGCTGGAGAAACAGCTAAAGTTTTGGCTGCCGAACTATTTTTTTGCAACCAAATACTGAAGATTCATGTTCATGAAGTTTTTGTTGCTTTGCAACAAGCCACAAGACTGCTCTCGTCTAAATTGTAGAGCCATGAAGACTTCAGTTATTTAAGGAGAGAGACCACAAGTGAGGAGAGAATATTACTTAAAGAATTCGCCGGATATTCTTGTAACGGTTTCAGTTTATCTACCTATCTTGAGCCAATTCATTTTTTAACAATAAAATACCAATAATAAAGTCCAGCGTTCGTGGTAAAGAATAATTTTATGCAATAGTAAATATTTTGCATTGTGATGCTCTTGGGGTTTGCCCCGTGTTACAGGTTGGCCAATGCTGTAATTGGCGGGTCTTCCTATAGTTTTTTACTGTATTCCTTGACCCCCTTTCGAAACTCTGAATGTGCATGGCTAGGCTATATCTATGTCCAAACTCAACCATGTTCATGAGTTTGACATTATTGTTCATGGTAGGGCAAGGATTATTATTGTTTGTTGGTGGGTATGGATGGACATAGCTTCCAAATGAATGCGGAAGTCAAGTCCATCAATATTACTTGAGACTTGATCCTAAACTGTGTGTCATGTCAATACAATGTATTAACATGGCACGTGTACTAATCCCATGGGATCCATTGACGTCACATCTTCATCCAAGAAAAAAAATGTTTTATGTAACTATGTGCTGCATGCTTTAGTGTGAGGAAGTGACAGCTTGAAAATTCCAACTTGGTTGAATCTTTGATCCTATTTATACAGCCAATTTTGCGAATGACCTTGAGATGAACGAGAGGGCTAGCACAAGTCACAGCAGTAAAAGTCGGACTCGATTTCATTTCTTTTTGATGTGATGTGAAGCATGTTTCAAGTTAAATTTAGTTACATGCCAACTGTGATGTGTTCAGTGGACTATCTATTGAGTGTAATGTATTTGCCACATCTTCTCAGCTACAGCATTCATGCTGTGCAAGCAATTTCGATCGATCCGTATTGAATTTGGATGTGTAAGGGAATCATAAAAAAGGCTAAGAAAAAATAACTCTCTTTCTTGCTGTAGGAGGGGACTCCCCTAATATAATTCACCCAAACCGAATTAATCCTCACTGAATTTCTGGTTCAAGTCAATTTCTTACAGCGAAACTATATACAGAACTTATTGAGAATTGAACTTGGGTTGAGTATGTCCCGCAAACAATACACGCCATGCATCTCCACAACCATGCTGTGGGCATTCGTTTACGTTTTTAACAAGAGCGAGGTGATCACTCTCGCAGGATGGAGCTCGTCGGAGACCAAGAGCAATGTAGTGGCACTCAGCTTTACATAAATTGTCTCAGAGTTCTATAACGTTCTTTGCATTGAAAAAAATGTTTATTCCATCCATGAACTTCCCTCATTCTACACTCTTGTAAAGTTGATCAATATTAGAACATTGGTGAAGTGTGCCGTTGGTGGGGTAATATTAGATAAAAAGATACATGATGGATACGATCAAGCTATTTGTGTTACAATTGGTCCCATCGAGTAATATTTTCATCATAATCAGATATAGAGTTATGTTTGCTTGAATGGCCCGCTCCAACCTGTTCAACTGATCAAACTAAACACATAAGAGAACAACCTGTTCGGTCCTGCTGCAACCTTTTCAACACATCACACAGGACACACAAGAGAACAATTGTGTGGTAACACACTTTTTGTTTTTTTTGCAGAATTTAAACAATTTTAGAAAACTAGTACCAAAGCAGTGTTTGTAGCTAGAGAAGGGTACGCTAAATAGAGTGGATTGATGAGATCGTCACGAGGGCACAAAGAATCACGTAGTCGGATGTACCAACGCCAACGTCTTCGACGCCTTCGGCAAAAGCTCCTTTTTGAGGTGTCTCTACTCACGCGCCTCCCTCGTATAAGGAAGCTACGCTTCCGGCGCAGACACCTCAGGAGGAGGTTTTGCTAAAGACGTCAGGAGAAGGGCCCGGACCTCTAAAGGCGTCCGACCATGAGTGCGCCTTCGGCGAAGCGCCGCTAGCGCGGAAAGGGGAAACCTTCATAACAATCGGGATACACGGTAAATCCAGTTGGTTGAAGTTGCATTAGAAAGAGCTCGGGACGCTCGTTCTAACGAGCCTAAGAGCGTCGGAGATGGATCAGGAATGGAGAAGTTATGAGCGTCGGAAAACTCGTAGCCGGACATGCGCCGTTCGCGCTAGGGTTCACAGCCGGAAAGGATTCCCGTACGCCCTCGGCGATGCGCCTTCGGCGGAATCATGCGCTCATAGGAGGAAACCAACTCTGAGTCGGAAGCGCCTTTGGCGGCTGTCCATGGAAGGAAAGCGCCGGTCGGATGTACGCCTCCGACGTGGCGCTGACGGCCGGATGCGCTGGCATGAGTTGCGCTGGCAGGTATGCGCCGGCAGCAACGGACGAGGCATAAAGGACAAAATAGGTGGTACGACTGCGCCGGCGTAATTCGCTCCGGCTGGATGTGCGCCTCCAGCAAGGCGCCGACGGATGATGAACGCACCAGCGGCGACACGCCTCCGGTGAGGGACGGGTTAGGAAAAGACAACAGGGCCGACGTACACCCTGCAGCGGACTCGAGTCCGGAAGGTGGCGGCGGCGGGAGAATTCAACGTTTAAGCATGCGAATGCGCGCAGTGCGGAGACGTGAATTTGCGCATGCAAAGGGCAAACCGTTAAGCTGTATAGCCGGCTGCGTACATTGCAACCAGTAAGAACGTTGGACGTTCTTGAAATCGGAGAAGAAAAGACTGCGCTCCAGTCTCATTCCCTCATTCTTGACTTTGCGATTTCCAGTTTCCAAGATTACGCGCAAGGGCGGAGCGACCTGCAGTGAGAGTAGAGAGTGCGGAGACGAGTTGCGCAAGGATCTTGGCGGACCTTGAAAGAATTGTGAGTAGCGATCTTGGACGATTGCAAAGAGAGTGAGCAGTCAGTGCTTGAGTGGCCGACGCGCAGTGGCGATTGTGAGAGAGCGAGCAAAAGGGAGAACGTTTGTGTGTGCAGGCAACGCAATGTCGAAGGTTCCCCAGCTGCGAGTGTCTCCACTCAAGGTGCCGCAGATCGGTCTACGCGCATTTCAAGATGTGCTGTTGAGGCTGAAGCTCGATTTTCTCCTATGGGGGTGGAATTGGACATGTCCGGAGATGGTGCGCGAGTATCTGCAGGAGAGACACAAGCCTTCTCGCGGATTTCGCCCACACCCAGAGAGATGGGACATTTGCAATTGGGCGCAGGTGTTGGGCAGGTGTGCCGGCGAGGAAGGGGATCTCCTCTTCGAGGCCGACAGCGTGAAGGTGTCCCAGGAGGAAGAAGTCTCTTACAATGAGCTCTTCAAAGTGGCCAGACATCCCAAGAACGGTTTCCGGACACGGGATTACAAGGATCGATTGCGGAGAAATGTCGCGACGGCATTGCTGCAGATATTGCAGCCGACCAAGACCGCTTACATGCATGGTTGGCAGGTAGAGTTTGTGGAGCTAGTGTTGTCAGGAGCTCCGGTGCATTGGGCACGGCTCCTGTGGAAGGTGACGCGCCAACATGCGCAAGAAGAGAAGGGAGGAACCCTCAATCATCTATCGCCTTACTTAATCGTGTTTTACCGGGCGATGGGATGTTTGACAAATGCTGAGAAAACACGGTTTCCACAGCTGACCCGGACTTATCCAGGTAGATATTCAAGGGAGGCCGAAGTAGACACGGATCCGGACGAGGAACCTGCTAGTACGCCTCCGGCTCCGGCTCCAGCAAGAGCAGCAGAAGAACGTCGAAGTGAGCGCATTCCGCGAAAGCGGAAGTGGGATGAGAGACCTGAGGACAGGCAGCCGGAAGTGCCAGCTGCGCCGACTCGTGGTCGGCCCACCCCCGAGCCTCACAGTCGACCAAAACAGAGGGCACGCAAAATGCCAACTGTTACTGAGGAGACCGGGCGAACTCCGACCCGGCGGAATCCCACACAGGAAGAGATAATCGCGCAGATCCTAGGGAAGACGGCAGATACTTCTGCTCAGAAGGCACCACGGCCTTCGGGAGGAGATGGACGGACTGACAGTCGGCCGACTGCGAGTCGGATGACTGAAGGCCGACAAGCGGAAGGAAGGCCAACTGAACGGCGCGTTGAACCGGACAGCAGGCCGGAAGCAGAAGAGAGTTTGGCTGACGAGCCAACAATCCTCAGAGGGTCGTCTTCGGCGGAAGGCACTTCTGGAAGAACGCCACCAGCAAGTAGGCCAAGTGGAGTCAAGACGCGCAGGGTATATCCGACTCCCAGTCGGACAACTGCTGGTCGGCCGACTGTGAGTCGGACGACAGAGAGTCAGCCGGATTCGCCGACTGCGAGACGGATGGGGCCAACGACCAGTGTGCGGACGCCTTCGGCGGACGCACCTTCAGCAAGGACACCTTCCGCGCAGATTGCGCCGGAAGGACAGGCAGCAGAAGCGGGCGGTGCAAGAGTGACAAAAGTCACTGCGGCGTCGACCCCTTCACAAACCGAAGATCGAGCCGGAACAGGGGCTCAAGCAGTGGGATCTCCCACTGCCTTGGATATTTTAGCAGGCAGTGGAGCAGCAGTCGCAGCGGAAGCTGCTGCGCGCCACAGTTCCAGGGAGTCGCCAAGGGATTCGGTGGCGACTGAAATCCTCGAGACTGAGGATGAAACGAGCTCGGAAGAGCAAGAAGCGGATTCGGTGCAGAAAACGCCAACAGGGGTGCTGTGCGAACAGATAGTTCCAC